TGTGTGTGTGTGTGTGTGTGTGGTCTATTATATGTTAACACGGCCTGCCTTACTTTGATGTCTCGGTTCGGGTTTATACGATTGGTAAGTGAACGTCAAATATTTTTAACTGGCTCTAGTTGCCAATCATTTTAAATCAGCCGAATTGACCCCACAGAGGTCGGGTTTAATATTCTTACTTGTTGGTTTTATTGGATGAAGCGTTTAGTGTAAAAACAAGATTTTATCCGAGCAGAGCAGCAGGTTGGAACAGAGCTGACAGACACCGACGAGCAACACGGAAACTCCACGGTCGGTTTTCTCCAACATTTTTAAAAACATTTCCGTATCTGAGAAGAAAAACACAAAAACGCGCGAATGAGAGGAGCTTTATGCTTAATTCGGCTCAATTATGAAACACTAAAAGTAAGCGATAAGAGCAGAAACAAACCTTATGGTTGTGATGACGTCACCAACGTGTTAATTAGCTACAGGAAACGAGGATTATTTGTTGCTGACACACCTGAGATACAGCTAATGCTTTTAAAAAAGACGAAAAAGAAAAAGTTTTGGTTKGATCATAAGTTAGAAAACAACAGAAATTAGAAAACAGTACCAGAACCAGTCACACATCTCTGGTTATTCACAATATGGAAAATGATCAATTATCAGGAAACACAGGAGAAATATTAATCACAGTTCAATGGGCTGAGCTTAATAAACCACTTAAATCAATCATTTGTTCAGATTACAGAATAAACCAAGAAGAGGAGGAGGAGGAGGCGGAGCTACAGGTGAGATAAATTTGATGTTTAATAACCTGAAACTTTTAATCATTTTATCAACCTGTGGAGTTACTTTTAAACTTTACATTAGTTTGTAAAGTTTGAGCCAGAAGATTTAAAACATCATCATTGTGCTAATTACCTGCTGATAAAATGAAAACCAGGTGTTGTGAGAGCAGGAACTTTATTTCTGTTTCTGTTCTGATTTAACAGCTGAATGTCAGCAGAGTTTAGACCTGAGAACAGAAACATTTGTGGACAGAAAGAAACTCAGAAAGTTCAGTTTTATTTAAAACATACCTGCTGACTTGTTGAAGCATTGAAACTCAGTAAAACACTTCAACTCTGTGTACAGACCAACAGGAAGTCAGGACTGGAATAACCCAGAGTTTAACYTTTATAAACCAGTTCTTCTGCTGTTGTCTTTAGTCTCTCTTCTCTACACGTTTATTCTTATTATTTCTATCATGTTTTTTCTTTGTCTCTTCCAGAAGAAGGTGCACCTGGACCAGTCCTGGACCAGTCCTGGACCAGTCCTGGACCAGTCCTGGACCAGTTCTTCTGTGTTTGTCTGTGTCTCTTTCCTGTCCTCCAAGCAGCCGGTCGAGGCAGATGGTCTCCTGTCCTGAGCCTGGTTCTGCTGGAGSTTTCTTCCTGATTAGCAGGGAGTTTTTCCTCTCTGCTGCTGCAGGTGTGCTGCTCAGGATGGAGACTGTGACCAAGGTAAGATTTGGTGCAGTCTGCTGCCTTCTTTGTGTTTTTTATTTTTATTTTTTGTGTACAGTGCTCTGAGACAGCGTATGTTGTGACTTGGCATTAAATAAATAAACTGAACTGAACTGCACCACACCTGTACCTGAAGTTAAATAATCCTGTCTTACAGGGTCCATGGATGGAAGCAAAGCATTCTGGGTAACATGGTCATAAATCTGGGATTGATCACATTCTAATGATTAGTCGTGTTTTTCAGATAAAAGTTCTGGTTCTCCTCCTGACTGAACTCTTCTCCAGCAGCTGTGGTGATGATGAGTCGTCCTCCCATCATGCCCTGCAGCCTGACCAATCACAGGCCCCGCCCTGCGTGATGTCAGCGGGGTATAAAGAGCGCGGCTGCCGGTCRGCCCCCCTGAGCAGGGTCAGCGTTCCCGGCCGGAGGAACCGCTGTCAGGAGGAAAAACAGAACTACACGCCGCTGGCCTGTAGTTTTGTTTTTTTCTGAGGCCTTCCTGCGCCGCTCAGCTGCTCTTCTGGACTTTCTGACCCGGGTTCTGGACACAGACCTTCAGCTTCCTGCAGACCGCCCAGCTTTGGGCCCCCAGGCACCCTTGTGCAGACAAGTGAGTGAGGTTGAGAGTCGGAGTGATGTTTTCTCATTTCCAGGTTGTGGAGCTGTTTCGGCTGTTTGTGGCTGAAGATGATGCAGACCTCCCAGAATAGCAGCCGAAGCTCTGATGGCTTTTTAAGGGCAGCGGTGGTGGAGCTATCACTGCTCAGATATGTGGCCCACATGGTGCCTGTCCGTCAAACTGAAGGGTGGGGGGCTATTTTTAGGTCTCCCCCACACACCTCTGGGATCTGTGGGATGATTGACAGCAGCAGCACCTCACTGAGGCTCTGAGTCAGGTTCTGTTTCAGGTTCTGATCCGGTTTATTTTCTTCTTCTGCTCTGCCTTTAATTACCTCAGCTGCCCCCCCCCCCCTATAATTTAATATTAATCCCAATAATTCTGGTTATTTGATTCATCAGAACCTCTGAGGAGACAAACGGGTCCAGAGACGTTTAGTTTTTGATGTTTGTCAGAACTTAAAGTTATTTAAAGAAAAAAAGTGGGCGGAGCCTCAAAGGTTCTTTGACTTCATCTTTATTTAAATCTTCAAACTTTGGTTTCATCAGATTTGATCTGAAAGAAAGAAAACCAAAAGAAAGAAAAAGAAAACTTTTCAGATTAAAACTGTTCTGATGGAATCATCTGGTTCTGGTTCTGGTTCTGGACTCCCTGTAGAACTGGTTTCACAGAAACCTTATAAACCCTGCAGTGAGGTTTAGACCAGGTCTTGGTTCTGTTAAACAAATTAAAGTTATAAAAATGTATTATTTCGTTTCAAGAAATAAAAACAGCCGAACGTTGAAAAGGTCTGAAGTTAGAGCTGCTGCTTCAGTTCTGGGTTCAAAGTGTTTTKTTTTGAGTTTAACTGGTCAGACTGGGTCTGGTGGGTCAGACAGGTTCATGTTTGGTCCTGTACAGCTGCTGTTGCTGCACCATCATCAGGGGCCTCATCTATCATCACACAAACCTTGTGTACACCATTTTCCACACAAAACTCCAGACGTGTCAGAAGTGAAGTGAAGGTGGAAACGTGCGCAGCCTCAACTCCRGGGCTGGTGCCACACGGTTCTGTGGTTCTGGTTCTGTTGGCGACACTTAGAGGTGATTCTGAGAAACTTCATGATGTGAAAATGAWTATTGTTCACAGCAGACACACATGAWTAACAATTATTACATCCATGGACGCAGTTAAAGGATGTGCAGAGTTGTGCCAGAAATACTTTTAACAGGAACAGATTCAGACTTATTAGAGGATATAATAAATATGCAGAGTGTGTATTTATACACAGTGTGTATTTATACACAGAGTGTGTATTTATACACACAGCATGTATTTAGTCACAAAGAGGGTTTCCTGATCCTCGATGACGTCTGTCTCATCAGCAGTTTTCAGTGTCTGAGGATAAAAATGGAGCCTCATCCACAGGACTGTAAAATATAACAACTCACCAGAACTGCAGAGAAAACTTAGTGAAGTTTGCTAAAATATTTCCAGGCTCAGAGGGCTGCACCAGGTACGCCCCTAATAACAGCAGCTTCACACACACACACACACACACACACACACACACACACACACACACACACACACACAGGTTTGTTTTTACATCCCCATGGCGACAGTGGATTGACTTCCATTTATTTTCTAGTCATTTTATACCCTAACCCTGACCATTTACCCTAAAACTAAACTCAATTCACACCTTGGTCCTAACCCYCMCCCCCCCMCCCCACCTGAAATTAGCATCTGTATTTGTGGGGACCGGGCATTATTTCCATGGTGCACATTCTGTCCCCATGAGGCTGCCTTTTTCTGGAAAATGGTTCCCACGATGTAGCAAAAACCTTCCCACACACACACACACACTCGTCTTTTGTATGTGACAAACACATTTTTACATCCCACTACTTATTTAGAACCTTTTCTCACTCGCATTATATTTAATTGCTTATTTTCATGATTGCAGAAATCCTTTCTGGTCAAACAGGGATCACATCCATCACACGTCACAGTTTTCATGTTTAACATCTGTAAATGAAGGCGTGTCAGGGGAGGAGTCTCACATGTGCTCAGTTCCACGTTGATTGTGATATACAAAAAAAATGTGCGTCCATTCTGGTGTATGCACRGTCTGATACATCTTGATTTATTTGTGCACACTCTGTTTTCTTGATTTGACCATATGCCACATTTCAGTAAGAAATCCACTGTGGTCTCAGTACACGAGGCCCCTGATCAAATGACCTGATTCTGGCTCTGATTGTTTTTTATGTTACAGTTCATTTTCAACTGTCAAATTTAAATGTGATGTTMTGGACTTCATAAGATTAGAAATTCAGGAAGTGCCAAACTTGTCAGCTTCTGGCCTGCAGAAAACCAGCAGGTCGAACTGAACAACCAACCAACTAACCAATAATAATATGATAAAAACACATCAGCTCTAACTGAACCTAACATTCTGTCTTTATCAAAAACCATAGAAAAGAGACGGGTCTTCAGCAAAGATTTAAAAGCCTCAACAGTCTCAGCAGACCGAATATTTCAGATTTAGATATAATATTATTATATATTAAGAGGTCGACCGTTCCGCAGCTTTGGAGCAGCTGTTGCAAAAGCCCGATACCAACCAACAGAGGTGCAAAGTAACAAAGTAAAAATACTTCATTACTGTACTAAAGTAGAAATTTTGGTTATCAGTACTAGAGTATTTATTTTTTCAGCCAACTTTTATTTAAACTCCTCACATTTTAAAAAGTGTAAGAAGTAGAAAGTTGTCTTGTTTTCTTTCAATCATATTGTTGTTAAAAAAGAGCTATCCTGACAAATTTTGCCTCCTGGACAGAGTGAAATTAATTGTGGTTGGATGAGAAGTATGAATATGTACCATTATTCTGACACCCTGTTGGTCTGTACGATCCATCATACCTGTATGACACAAATCATGTCATACTCCAGACACGTGTACCCGCCTATGTAAAAGACTGTGTCAGAGATATATGCAACAGTATAGTCATTATGGTCTTTAGAAAAAAGTAGTTTTCTTTTGGAGAGACCACCTCACAAGACATGTCATAATGAGAATTGTAACCTCTCACTTTTATTCAATACTTACACTGTTAATACTTAAGTTCATTTTATATCAGAAATTTATTTTGATACTTCAGTACAGTAAATGTCTATAACTTTTACTCAAGTAATATTTTTAGAGACTTTCATTTTTACCAAAGTCATTTTATAGTAAGATACTTGTATTTTAGTATTACTTTGAAGTACTTTATACTAAACTGCCAACCAACCATTCATTCGACCAACTTACCAACCAACCGTTCATTCGACCAACTTACCAACCAACCAATCAGTCAACTTACCAACCAACCATTCATTCAACCAACTTACCAACCAATCAGTCATTCATCTTACCAACCAACCAGTCAATCAACCTAGCAACTAACCAGTCAACTTACCAACCAACCATTCAACCAGCTTACCAACCAATCATTCAGTCAACTTACTAATTATTCAACTTACCTACCAATTAACCAATCATTCAGCTTGCCAATCAGTCATTCAACTTCCCACCAACCAACCTTTCAACTTACCAACCAGTTAGTCAAATTACTAACCAACCAACCAATCAGTCAACTTAACAACCAAACAATCTTTCAACTTACCAACCATTCAACCAACTTATCAACCAACAAATCAGTCAACTTAACCAATTAGTCAATTTACCACCAACCATTCTTTCAACTTACTAATCAGTTAGTCAAATTACCAACCAACCAACCAACCAACCAACCAATCAGTCAACTTAACAACCAAACAATCTTTCAACTTACCAACCATTCAACCAACTTAACAACCAAGCAATCACTCAACTTACCATCCATTCAACCAACTTACCAACCAAGCAATCACTCAACTTTTCAACCAACTTAACAACCAACAATTCAACCAACTTACCAACCAATCATTCAACCAACGAACCGAACAATCAACCGACCCACCAATGAACCGACTCACAACTCAATCAACCAACCAAACGAACTGACCCACTAACCAGTCAGTTGACCAATCAACCAATTTACTGACCCACCAACCAAACTACCAAACATACTGTCTCACCATGCTATGGCCTTAAGGTCTAGGCTTCTATTACAAAAGTGATCTGTGATCTTAGTGGGATTTGTCTGGTTAAATACATAATCAATCAACCCATTGGTTGACCAATAAACCAACCTGTCCCACCAGCTAATGGACAAATGACAAGATGTCACACATAAATCTGGTTTTATTGTTTTTGGTATTGTTATTTGTTTATTTGTTTGTTCCTGGTGTTTAATATTTGTTTGCTCCTGGTGTTTATTATTTGTTTGCTTCATCAGCCATCTCCATGACTTTGAAACGCGTTCAGCTCAGGTTGTGATGGAGTAGACGATGTTCTCACATGTCTGACTATTTTGTGTCTCTTCAGGGTGCCGACCAACATGTCCACACAGGCGCCGACGTTCACTCAGCCTCTTCAGAGCGTCGTGGCACTAGAGGGTAGTGCCGCGACGTTCGAGGCTCAAGTTAGTGGTAAGAAAAGAAACAGAGTCTAACAGWCAGRGGACAASACYCTCTGTAGGTTCTCCAATAACAGTCTGRGTCTCTTCTGCAGGTTCTCCAGTTCCTGAGGTGAGCTGGTTTCGTGATGGCCAGGTTCTTTCCACCGCCGCTCTGCCCGGCGTTCAGATCTCGTTCAGCGATGGCCGCGCTGTTCTGAGGATCCCCGTTGTGACCGCCGCACACAGCGGACGCTTTTCTGTCAGAGCCACCAACGGTGCTGGACAAGCCACAAGCACAGCTGAACTCCTCGTTACAGGTGAGACAGGGACAGGTGAGGGTTAGGGGGAGGGACAGGTGAGACTGGGGAGAGGTGAGGGTTAGGGGGAGAGACAGGTGAGACTGGGGACAGGTGAAACAGGGACAGGTGAGGGTTAGGGGGAGGGACAGGTGAGACTGGGGACAGGTGAAACAGGGACAGGTGAGACCGGGAACAGGTGAGGGTTAGGTGGAGAGACAGGTGAAACCTTCCTGTCCTATCCACCACTGGAGCTGGAGAAGCTGTGAGCAGCACTGAGCTCCTTGTTAATGTGAGACTGAGACACTGGACAGACCTTGTGTCTCAGTCTCCTGACTCATAGCAGGTGTACCCCAGCTTGTCCCTGATAGCAGCTAGCAGGTAAATGTAGGAGCACCTGTTGTCCTGTCTCTTCATAAATCGTGAAGTTGAACAAACTAACCAAAGTTAACTAAATATTCATGCTTCATCATCGGTCTTGTCCTGAATAAATAATAATTGTGGATGTTTAGGTCGTAAAGTTCTGCTTCCTTCATCAGTCAGACAGAAAGCTGTCTGTTCAGTGTCACAAAGACACTGTAGGTTCCTGTAACCCCCAGAGCCAKTCTGAGTCTAAATTTATCTGCTGTCAGCTGTGGGGGCGGGGCTTGTCATTTAATCCTGTGATAAAACAGATTTAGATGCAGCTGCTGCAGCATAACTTTCCTTAAGAGGAATTAGATTAGAATTTAAATTTTTAACTGGAACCAGTCAGGAGTTCAGGTCTGAGCTGTCAGACCCTCAGGGGTCATTCATCATCTTCCTCTTATTCCAGACTCAGGTCTTGGGGGCAGCAGCTAGATCAGTGGGGTCCACACCTCTTTCATCTTCCAACCCTTCTGGAAAGACTCCGAGCTGTTCTCAGACCAGCTGAGAGACAGTCTCTCCAGAGTGTCTTGGGTCTTCTTCAGTGTCTCCTCCCTATAGAGGAGGCCAGGGTCCATCCTGTCCAGATGGACCACTTCAGCTAGTTCCTCTGGATGTGGAGCAGCAGCTTTAATCTGAGTCTCTCCTGGAGAACTGAACCTCTCAGTCTGGGTCTGAGGGATGGTCCAGCTACTCTGCAGAGAAAACTCATTTCAGCTGCTTGGATTTGTGATCTTGTTTTTTCCATCACTACCCAAAGTTCCTGACCTCAGGTGAGGGTAGGAACGTAGAACGATCTGACCTCAGGTGAGGGTAGGAACGTAGACTGATCTGTAAACAGAGCTTCTCCTTCCAGCTCAGCTCCCCTGAACCACAACAGACCAGAACAGAGTCCACAAAACTGCAGAACCTGTTCTGATCAGTCTGTAGGTCTTCTTTCTTCCCTCACTATAAAGAAACCCTGAGACATTTGAACTCCTGCTCTGCATGAGTCCTGGACCTGCCGGGCCTGCTGGACCTGCTGGACCTCCTGAGCTTCTCTAGCCGATCTGTTCCATGTTCTGATCCTTTGTGCGTCTTGTGTCTCTGCAGCGGAGACGGCGCCCCCCACCTTCCTCCAGAGGCTGCAGAGCTCCACAGTGAGGCAGGGCAGCCAGGTGAGGCTGAGCGTCAGGGTCTCAGGGATCCCCTCACCTGTAGTGAAGTTCTACAGGGAGGGAGCCGAGATCCAGAGCTCTGCTGACTTCAGGATCCTGCAGGACGGAGACCTGTACAGTCTACTGATCGCAGAGGCCTTCCCAGAGGATTCTGGGACGTATTCTGTGACTGCCACCAACAGCAGCGGACGGGCCACGTCCACCGCCGAGCTGCTGGTTCAAGGTGAGCACCGGTCCAGTTCACCTGCAGGTTCTACCTCCCGCTGATGGGGGTCCGAGCAGATCTAAACCTCCAGGTGTCTTTGCTGCAGGTGAAGAAGCTGTTCCAATAAAGAAATCCAAGACTGTCATGTCCACGTCCCAGATGGAGACTTCAGAGTCCAGAATGGAGCGGGTGAGTGGTGTCAGAACTGCACCTGGTGGTCTTCAGTGGTATTACACAGTGTTTGGGTCTGAAGGAGGTTTGGTCTGGGTTCTGGTTCTGGTCTGCAGAAAATGGAGGCCAGTTTCCAGGCCACCACCATGATGGAGATGCACGTCGAAGGAGGAATGATGACTCAGCACGTCGAAGGAGGAATGATGACTCAGCACGTCGAAGGAGGAATGATGACTCAGCACGTCGAAGGAGGAATGATGACTCAGCACATAGCTCATAAAACCCCACCGCGGGTCCCCCCAAAGCCCACATCCCGGTCCCCACCATCTTTTGTTTCCAAGGTAACGGGAGGCCGCCAACAGTCCCCGTCCCCCGTCAGACACGTGAAGGGCCCGACGCCCGCACCTGTCAGGTATGCCCCCCCCCACCTGCAGCCCCAGGAGAACCCGTCTTAACGAGATGTTCTGGTTTAACTGTGTTTTTCTCTGCAGGTCCGTTTCTCCCTCCAGCAGGGTGTCAAGTTTCCAGATCAAACCTGTCAGGAGCCCAGTGATGACCAGGAAGCAGGTGAGAATAGGTCCAGGTGTTCTGGATCCAACCACTGAACAGGACCGGGTCTGATGATGTGGGTTCAGGACACAAAGATGTTTTTCTGGTTCTAACCCTTCCAGAACTTCCAGAACCAAGTTGTGTTTATCACAGTTCCTGCATCAAATCCTGTTTATGTCTGAAGGAAGGTGGTCCTTTAGTGTTTGGTTCTGTGGAGGGTCAGAAATGAACCCAGCAGAAGCTTCAGACCCGTGTTTGTCCTGTTGACCCAGCAGGTCCAGTGTTTGTGTGTCCTCCTCTGAAACCCTGGCTCTCCTGCAGGTTTCTGCCTCTGCAGAGGTCCTGCCGCCCTGGAAGCAGGAGGACTACGTGGCTGAAGGCTACACCACCATGACCACAATGAGCAGCAGCAGCGCCACCCAGCTGCACCTGGAGAAGCAGTGGGAGCACCAGGTGGTCTCCAGCAGAGAGGTGAGCCTCCTCTTCATCAGGACCAGGTCTGATGTAGACCTGGTCCTGATGCACTTAAAGTATACTCAACATATCAGCTTACCCACAATGCACCTGAGTCCTGGAAGGGTCTGTCTGAGAAAAGACCTGCAGCGCAAAGCTGTGGCCAGAAGTCCAACGTCACGTGATGAAGCTCCGCCTCTTCCTCAGGACTTCATTTGTCCTCCATGAAAGACTCAAAGTCATGTTTCACTTTTTGTCTTTGGGGTCATCCTCCCTGAGATCTGTGTGCTGCTCCTTGTTTCTCCAGGCTGAGGGAGAGAAAAAGGCCGAGGCGGTCGCCACCGTCGTGGCCGCCGTCGACCTTGCTCGGGTCCGGAAGCCCGTCCTCGAGGAGGGCGACCGGGCCGAGGAGGACGAGGCCATGGACGTGAAGGAGCAGGAAGCAGTACCTGCAGACAAACCAGCTCAGGCCACAAAAACTGCTTCTGAAGAGCAGAGACATGTGCATGTCCAACAGGTCCAGCAGGTCCAGAGGTGGACTGATGTCTCCTCCAATGTGGACTCTGGTGTCTCCTCAGTCCCACATTTCACCGTCTCTAAAGTTTCTGTTCCTAAACATGAACCGAGCCACGAGGTAAGAGGATCAGGTCCAGACCCGTCATATCTTCCCAGATCCTCCATTCCATCTTTAACAAACACATGTTTAACTGGTGTGGCTCACGTGTGACCCGACCTAAACCATCCTGGTTCTGATTCTGCAGCACGTCGACCCGTCAGCATCACTGATCCTCCTCCTAATTCACCACGTTCTGGAGTTTTTCATGTCTGTCAATCTTTAATCAGAGCAGTTGGAACAGGATGGAAWAGGTTGTTTTTGAGCTTTATTTTCCTGTCAGACTTTATAAAGTCCAGATGTTTCATCTTCTGTTCATCAGCTTCTTTCTTTTTAAAGATCTCTTCCTGTGTTTCAGCCTGAAACGACTCAAAAGCTCACCAGGAAACCAGTTTAGACTTTTAAAGAGCTAAGAGTAAAGGTCAGGAAGTCTTGGTTCTGATTAGATTCTGATTAGGTCCATCTCCAGTTCAGTCTGAGACTCTGAAGATCATCAGAGGTTCTTCACTTTGACACCAGATGTTGAGACAATGACTGAATAAAAACCAAAGACTGAAGGATTCTCAGGTTTCTCCTCTGCAGAGCAGAACTTTATGGAACCACTGAGGGAGTCCTGAAAGAGTCCAGTCTGAGCTGGACCGTGGTTCAGTAGAAGACAGCTGGACTCTGAGCCAAATGGCCTCTTCAGTTCTGGTCGTGGTCTGAAACCTCAGCCATGGTCTCTGGTCTCTCAGACGGTACCAATTCAAGAAATGTCTTGGGTTAGGAGGCGGTGTCGACTTCTCTGGGCTCCATCTGGTCAGACCATCACACAGAAGGAACCTGGATCTGACAGATCAGATTCCAGATGTTTGTTGGAACAAAGAGTCCAAAGGAGGAAAGGAGCATCCAGAAAGTTGTCGGCAAGAAGTCCAGAAGACTGGTTCTGTCATTGTTCTGAACTTGGATCAAGGTTCTTGGATGGATCAGTCAAGAGGCTACCATCTTCAGATCCAAAGGATCCATCATTCAGACCTTCTGAAGGAATGTCCAACTGTCAGATGAGACTAAGATTTAACCAGAGAAGAAAGTCCAGGAACATTGGGTTCAGGCTCAGGGACCATCTGTAATAGAAAAGGTTCTGTGATGGTTTGGACTTGGATCAGTTTTCTGACTACTGCACTGATGATCTCTTCATCACAATGACTTTATGTGTGAAAGGAACATTATAGAGTGGAAAAAACTGGTCCTGGACTTGGTTTTTGTAGTTTTTTGAAGACTGAAACAAGTTTTTACCACTAAATGAAGCTGATGAACTATTTTTATTTTCTCTGACAGGAAGTAAAGGTTAACGATGTTGTCTGTAGGTCTCCTTACTGTCCCGACTCTTTCTGATCCAAGTTTGACTCGAATCCTGCTGCCTGCCTCCCTTTCAATCAGAATCGGTCTTCATCACTCACTAATCCTCAACAGAGCGTGGACTTCCTGTTTGTTCTTGACGATGGTTAACCCTGCTCTCATTGACCGGTTCAGGTGTCAATCGTGGGTTCGGCCTTCGCCGTTCTGCACAAAGAGCTGTCCTCCCCTTCTGCTACCAGGAAGATCATCAAGCCCGTCAAGTCTCCCAGTCCCTCTCGCAGGAGGGCAGCGGAGGCAAGAGTGGTGCCGGATCCCCTCCCACCACCATTCAAAGATGTCCAAGTTCRGAGGCAGATTGAGGGCGGGGCTTATGCAGTGAGTGAGGAGGAGTTTGAGGACTGGGAGCCTCAGGTTGGTTCTTCACTCTGTTCTCCTTCGTCTTCTCACTTTAACCTTCACCTCAGTTCCCCTCCTACCGTAACGCACCAACCAATCACATGCTGTCCTTCATGAAGACRACTCCTCCTCTTCCTCCTCCTGTCTCCATCCGTCTGTCTCTCTGCAAGGTTTTATCTGTCCCCACCAGCTTCCTCCCTCCTCACCGATTGTTGACAAACACCTTGTTTCTTCTCCTTCTTCACTCTTAATGTTTGTTTGCAGGAGTCTGCTACCGTGCCAACCAGAGCCCAGGAACCTGCGCTTCCTCCTACTGTTGTTGCCGTGAGTAAACTTCCTGTTTTGCTTCTTTTCAAAATAAAACTCCAGCATATGACCTGTGTCCCAGTCTGGTCAGACCCTGTTCAGGTTTCTGACGGCCTCTGTTTCCTTTCAGGGCCTGAAGAATGTGACGGTGACGGAGGGTGATTCAGTGACCCTGGAGTGTCAGATCAGTGCTCAGCCCGCCCCCGTCATCCTGTGGTTCAGAGAGGACTACAAGATCGAGAGTTCAATCGACTTTCAGATCAGCTACCAGAATGGCTTGGCCCGGATGATGATCCGTGAGGCGTTYGCCGAAGACAGCGGTCGCTTCACCTGCACCGCCACCAACGAGGCGGGAACCATTAGCACCTCCTGCTACCTGCTCRTCAAAGGTACCGAAGTCCAGACCCCAGACAGAGTTAGAAACTGCAAAAATATTCAGTATTTTGTGGAGCAGAAGGTGAAGCTAACAGCTCCTCTGACATCAAACACCAACTAGAATCTGAGCTTCAGTTGGTTCCAAACTGTTCTTGAGTCTGGAGTCGTGTAAAGTCCAATTCTCTGTGATCCAGTTAGACTTTGAATAATAATAATAATGTTTCAGCTGTAGATCCAAACAGGACTGTATTTTACTGCTCTCTAAAAACTAAATACTGTGATTGTCTGTGGGATATTATGCTCAGGTTTCATGAAATTCCCTCTTACTGTTCGACTACTCTGGTGTCCATCAGAGGCACACAGTCATGGAACACTGTCCCAGCTCATATCAGGAACTGTGGTACCTACTGTAGCTTTAAAAATGCTTTGAAGGATTGGTAGAAAACCAACTGAAGGTGCACTCATGTGTCTGTTTTGTTATCCTTATTTTAACTTCATTTAGTTTGTGTTTTATAGGTAATGTTTGTTTTATTCTCTGCTCTTTGTTTTGTGGGATGCTTCTAGTTCTTACATGCCTTAGGGCAATGGATGAAAACTAGTCGTTGTGCTAACTCTGGCATATTTACATTGATGCTTATTGCTTACATGTTGATTATTATGCATTCTTCTAATTTAAATAAAAATAAAAATAAAAAAGGTCAGAGCTCAATGTTCATGATCAAAACACAGGTTTTTATGTCTTTAATCCTGTGAGAAAAGTTGAAAATTAATAATTAAAGTGGGATTATTTGGGATGAACCAACTCCATCTTGGTTTTGGTTCATGGATTAAACCAAACTCAGTCTATAGATGTGGTTTGAGAAGTACTGCACAAGACAAGTTCAAAATGTGCAGATTTTACCTAACCAACTTTACTTTGTGTTTTAGTGTCAGAGGAAATAGAGAGCAGAGAGGAGATGGTGGCCGTCACAGAAACTGGAATTACAAAAACACAAACGTGAGTTTTACAGTTTTTAACCTAGAGCAGCTATAAAATCTCAGAGCTGCAGGGTTTCATCCAGCTGTTGTTCCTCATCAGGGTTGCTGTTGAGATGAAGGAGCAGATGGAGGTGAGTGCAGGAGAATCTGCTGCTCCCTTCTTCATCAAGAAACCCATCCCCCAGAAACTGGTGGAGGGAGGAAGTGTCATATTTGAGTGTCAGGTTGGAGGAAACCCAAAACCTCACATCATCTGGAAGAAGAGTGGCGTGCCGCTCACCACCGGATACAGGTACACAACACCAAACACCAGTCAGGTACAGGTACACAACACCAAACACCAGTCAGGCACAGGTACACAACACCAAACACCAGTTAGGTACAGGTACACAACACCAAACACTAGTCAGGCACAGGTACACAACACCAAACACCAGTTAGGTACAGGTACACAACACCAAACACTAGTCAGGCACAGGTACACAACACCAAACACCAGTCAGGCACAGGTACACAACACCAAACACTAGTCAGGCACAGGTACACAACACCAAACACTAGTCAGGCACAGGTCACCAGACCAAACACTAGTCAGGTACAGGTCACCAGACCAAACACTAGTCAGGTACAGGTCACCAGACCAAACACTAGTCAGGTACAAGTGACCAAACCAAGAACCACCCATTTACAGATCATTGTCCAAGAAGCAGTCATAACCAGATCAGAGTAGATAAGTTTTCCTTTTCTCATCAGATATAAAGTTGCCTATAAGAAAGAAACTGGTGAATGCAGACTTGAGATCTCCATGACTTTTGCTGATGATGCTGGAGAATACTCCATATTTGCTAAGAATCCCCTTGGAGAATCCTCAGCGATCGCCCTTCTTCTGGACGAAGGTATCAGCTTTATTGTTTTTTCTTCTTCTCTCTTTAATGGACCAATTCCTCAGTCTCCAAACTTCTGTTCACAGATCAATATGAAGCTTATATGAAGCAGCAGGATGTGACGTACAAAACCGAAGTTATGACAACCGTGGTCCCAGAGCCCCARCTGGTCTTGAGTCAGTACGAGCAGGACCAGAGGAGGGTGACCACCCCTATGAGCTTTGTCTCAGAGACGGTACTGTTTCTGCAGATCTGTCCCTTCACCAGGCTCGGTAAAACCTTTCACCTTAAATCTTCAACACTGTTTTGTTTTTCTTTTGTTTTTTAGGAATTCCTCATTTCAGCCTTTGAAGAGAGGATCATCCAGGAGATTGAACTCCGAATCATGAGGATCACATACAGAGAGCTGGTGATGGAGGACGGAGAGCTGATGGTGACCATCGCTGAAGAGGAGGCCACACAGCCAGTCTTTGACACACCAGTCAAAAACTACCGGATTGTGGAGGGAATGGGCGTCACTTTCCACTGTAGGATGTCTGGAAGACCTCTGCCTAAGGTGCTGAGAAGTTCTTTACATTCTTATCTGTAGAACCAAATCAAAGGTCCTGAGTCCCAAACCATGTGTGGTTAAAAATACTAGTAATACTAGTATTTCAGATATGTCATTAATATTTACATTGTAGTAAAAAGCTGAAAAAACATTCAAAAGTTCCAGAGAATTTATTCTTCCATATAAAACTCTCGACAGATTGTTTGGTACAAAGACGGGCAGCGAATCGAACCTAGTGGTAGGTACCAGATGGAAGTTCTGCAGGACGGACGAGCCAGTCTGCGTCTGCCTGTCATTCAGCCAGAAGATGAAGGCGTGTACACGGCCTTCGCCTCCAACATGAAGGGAAACGCTGTGAGCTCAGGGAAGCTCTACGTGGAGCCGTCAGGGGCTGTAACTCCTCCAAGATACACGTCCCAATCATCACTGCAGAGGATCAGGTAGGTCCTAAAGAGAGTCAGTACCTGGAGTAAGACTAGAACCCCCAAACTAAAGAGCAGGACTGAAGTTTAAAGACTCATCAGTTGACTGGTATTAAGTTATTTTAGAATAAGAAAGAATAAAGCTCAGTTTTCATGATTTATCTTTTGATTTTTTTCCATCATACCTGCTCACTTGTCCTCTGATGTTTTGACGACAGCAGGTCAGCATGGTGAAACTGTGTCTGCTACACAAGTAGATATCTTCTCACATTTCAGTACAGCCAGGAACTTACAGAACTCTCATTATTTGGTCTAAATTGATGTAAATATATCCCTGTTCTCTTGACACATCAACCAGATCCTGGATTGTTACATTTTGAGTATTCAGAAGCCTTTAATACTGCCACCTTGTTTTAGGTCTACATCTCCTCGTTCTCTGAGCCGCTCTCCAGGCCGGTCACCCAGCCGTTCACCTGGACGCTCTCCCGCCCGCCGCCTCGATGAGACTGATGAGGTTCAGTTGGACAGACTTTACAAACCTGTGTTTGTCATGAAACCTTCTTCTATAAAATGCTCTGAGGGACAAACTGCCAGATTTGACCTGAAGGTCGTTGGCAGACCGATGCCGGACACTTACTGGTTCCACAATGGTGAGAAAAGACAATAAACACCTAAATGTTCTTTTGTCATTGAAATTCTTGTAAAGTCATTTTATCCTCCCTTCAACAGGACAACAAGTGGTTAATGACTTCACTCATAAAATAGTGGTTAAAGAGGATGGTACTCAGTCTCTGATCATTGTCCCTGCGGTGCCGAAAGACTCTGGAGAATGGACTGTGGTGGCTCAGAACAGAGCTGGACGAACATCTGTATCTGTAACTCTGTCTGTTGAAGGTAAGTTTGTCCCATCTTTCATTTATTCTGTGCATTACCCACAACAAGACCATGACATTATCAACTGTTGTTCTGGAATCTGCAGCTCGAGAAAGTGTGACCAGACCTCAGTTTGTTGAAAAACTCAAGAATATCACGGTGAAGCAGGGAACTCTGGTTGAACTGGCTGTTAAGGCCATTGGAAACCCCCTGCCTGACATTGTCTGGCTGAAAAATAGTGACATCATCACCCCACAGAAACACCCACACATTAGGTAAGTGATTCTACTCTAGCTAACTCTGAAACAGTTGATGAGTGTACTGAATATTTTGTCTTGTTTCTTATGTCAGGATTGAAGGAACCAAAGGAGAGGCCAAATTTCAGATCCCATCCTCTGCCGGCACAGACAGTGCCTGGTACACCGCGACAGCCATCAACAAGGCTGGCAGAGACACCACCCGCTGTAGAGTCAATGTGGAGGTAGACCACATGGTCCCTCTAGCTGAGAGGAAGCTCATTATCACCAAAGGAACGTACAAAGCCAAAGAGATCGCAGCTCCAGAGTTGGAGCCCCTCCACCTACGATATGGCCAAGAGCAGTGGGAGGAGGGTGACCTTTACGACAAAGAGAAGCAGCAGAAACCCGTGTTCAAGAAGAAGCTGACATCMATCAGGATGAAGCATTTTGGTCCAGCTCACTTTGAATGCAGACTGACTCCCATCGGGGACCCCACCATGGTGGTTGAGTGGCTGCATGACGGCAAACCTCTGGCTGCTGCAAACAGGCTGCGCATGGTCAACGAGTTCGGCTATTGCAGCCTGGACTATGAAGTGGCTTACGCTAGAGACAGTGGAGTCATCACCTGTAGAGCCACCAACAAGTTTGGAGTGGACCAGACCTCGGCCACCCTGATTGTGAAAGACGAAAAGGGCCTGGTTGAGGAGACGCAGCTTCCTGAAGGCAGGAAGGGAGCATACCGAATGGATGAGATTGAGCGCATGGCTCATGAAGGTGGACCTGCTGGAGTCAGCGGAGATGACGAGTCTGAAAAGACAAAACCTGAAATCGTTCTGCTCCCAGAACCAGCCAGAGTGCTAGAAGGTGACATTGCTCGATTCCGTTGCAGAGTGACCGGTTATCCAGCTCCAAAGGTTAACTGGTATCTCAACGGACAACTCATCCGCAAAAGCAAAAGGTACAGACTTCGTTACGATGGTATTTATTACCTGGAGATTGTTGATATCAAGTCCTATGACTCAGGAGAGGTCAGGGTGGTCGCAGACAATCCTTTAGGCACAACTGAGCACACTGTAAAACTTGAGATCCAACAGAGAGAGGACTTCAGAACAGTCCTACGTCGTGCCCCAGAACCCAGGCCTGCAGAAGCCTCAGAATCTGGCAGGATTGGATTTGATATTGTCAAGTCAGACAGACCTGGGGAAACCGCACAGGACAGAGAAGTTGTTAAATTGCGTAAAACCCAAAGAATTGTTCATGAGAGAACATCTGAGGAGACAGAAGAGCTGAAGAGCAAGTTCAAGCGCAGAACAGAGGAGGGTTTCTACGAGTCCATCTCTGCTGTGGAGTCCAAATCCCATAAGAGGGATGACTCTTATGAAGATCTACTGAAGAAGACTAAAGAGGAGCTGCTTCATCGTATGAAGGAGAAAGAAGAGGAAGAAAGGAGGAGACTGGAGGAGCAAGGCACAGTCACTATCCCCACTTTCAAACCAGAGAGGGTCCAGCTGTCACCCAGCATGGAAGCACCCAAGATCTTCGAGCGCATTGCAAGCCAGACGGTCTCCCCAACAGACGAGGTCCATTTCAGAGTCAGAGTCGTTGGAAGACCAGAACCAGAATGCCAGTGGTTCAAAAATGGTATTCAGCTGGAAAAGTCTGACCGTATTTACTGGTACTGGCCCGAGGACCACGTGTGTGAACTGGTGATCAGAGATGTCACCGTGGAGGATTCTGCCAGCATCATGGTTAAAGCCACGAACATTGCCGGAGAGTCCTCGAGCCACGCCTTCCTTCTGGTCCAAGGTAACATCATTTCACCCAAATCTCTCCAGGTGCATCTTTTATGTCCTTCACTCATTACTTGTTTATTGGTTTCTCATTTCAGCCAAGGCAACAATTAGTTTTACCCAGAATCTGGCAGATGTTGGTGCCAATGAGAAAGACACCATGGTGACCTTTGAGTGTGAAACCAATGAGCCATTYGTTAAGGTCAAATGGCTCAAGAATGATGTGGAAATCTTCTCAGGAGATAAATACAGGATGCATTCCGACAGAAAAGTCCACTTCCTGTCTGTGCTGATGATTGAGATGAGTGACGATGCAGAGTATTCTTGTGTAGTTCTAGATGATGAGAACGTCAGGACGACAGCACGGCTCTACGTAGAAGGTAGAAACTCTGAGTTAGCATACTGTTTCACTGGTCTGGTTTCTGTTGTATTGGAAGCTCAAGGTTTTTGATGCTGCTCTGTCCCCAGGTGCTTCCCTGGAGCTCATTAAACACCTGGAGAACATTGAAGTACCTGAGAGTTATGCTGGAGAATTTGAGGTTGAATTGTCCCGTGAAGATGCTGAGGGAACCTGGTTCTTTGGAGAAAAGGAACTCTCTCCCAGCTCTAAGTATGTCATATCTTCCCGCCGAGGAAGACATTCTCTGTCCGTTAAGGATGTCAGGAGAGAAGACCAGGGGAAGTATACCTTTGTTTGTGGAGAGCTCAGGAGCAGCGCTGCTCTGAAGATGAAACGTAAGCTTGTGGAGTAGAAGACACTTGGTAGAAGTTGTTTGTTTTGTGATGAGTGCCTAAAGAACAGCTTGTCTTTCCTCAGTACGCCCCGTGACCCTGATGCAGCCCCTCACCGACCTCACCGTATGTGAGGGTGACATAGCTCAACTGGAAGCCAGGTTTTCCCAGGAGAACGTTGAAGGAACCTGGATGAAGAATGGCCAGGTGGTCTCCGCCTCCGACCGGGTTCACATCATCATCGACAAACAGGTTCACAAACTGCTGCTTGAGAACGTCAGCAGAGAAGACGCTGCTTCTTACTCTTTCGTGGTTCCAAGTCACGACATCTCCACCTCAGGCAAACTTAGTGTTCAAAGTAAGTGTTAAAACCACAGTTGACCCAGTTTAAACATCACTGGACCACTTTGGCCTTTTGGAACTAGAAGTTCTCTTTCTCTGCAGCAATCGACATTTTGGTGCCACTGAAGGACGTATCCTCCATTGAAGGCACCAAAGCTGTTCTTGAGTCCAAGATCTCTGCTCAGGACATCAGCTCTGTCAAATGGTACCACAATGACAAACTGCTGATGCCCAGTGACCGGGTCCAGATCGTGGCAAAGGGATCCAAGCAGCGTCTGGTCTTCACCAGGACCTTTGCTTCAGATGAAGGACATTACAAACTTGTGGTTGGAAAGGTTGAAACCAGCTGCAACCTRACTGTTGAAGGTGAGAGAGATGACATGTATTGAGTGGTTCTGGTGTCAGGTTCCARTTCTAACAGTGTGGTTCTTACAGAGGTACACATAGTGAAGCACATGGAGGACAAAGAGTGCTCCGAGTCCCAGAATGTTACTTTTAATGTTGAAGTTTCTCACCCTGGAATCGACCCAGTCTGGACCTTCAGGAACCAGCAGCTCAAAGCTGGAGTCAAATACAAACTGGAGTCCGAGGGAACGTCTCACACTCTGATGGTCATTGACACCATGAAGGATGAAGAGGGCCAGTACATGTTCCACGCTGGCGAAAAGACTTCCAGCGCTACTCTCACCGTCTCTGGTGAGTCCAAACTCAAGATTCTGATGGTCCAAGGAGCTAACCGTGGGAAACACTCAACTATGATACAATCAGAACTATTCCTTTCTGCCTCCTCCAGGTGGCGCCATCACACGCCCCCTGCAGGATGTGACAGTGGCCGAGTCCCAGACSGCTGAGTTTGAATGCGAAGTCGCCAATGCTGACGCTGAAGGCAAGTGGCTGAAGGACGGTCAGCTGGTGGACTCCAGTGAGAACGTCGTGAGCGAAGTGATGGGAGCTGTCAGGCGCCTCATCATCGTCATTACCAGACCACAGGACGTTGGAGAATACACCTACCAGGTCGCCAACTCCAAAACCAGCGCCAACCTCAAGGTGGAGGGTGAGTACCAGATTCTGTCTGCCAGGCTGGAAGAAAAGACTCTGAATCTTGAACGGTCCAATCATGACACAGCAGTCAGGCACATAAAGAACCAGAAATGTGAACAGATGTAGAGAACTGCCTGAAAGCCCTCATCTGTCAGCTTTGACTCTCTGAGGATCATTAACAATTTGGGACTTCTTCTTTTGATAAAATTAAACTCTGTCTATGGCCGTTATTTTGAAACTCCAGACAATTTTCAGGGCTCCAGACTAACCTTTTTTTAGGTGAGCCCAAATTTTCAGTCATGTCACATTTAACATCCCAGTTTCAYGTTTGCTTTTTTCTAATCACTGTCCATTAAGGCAAAATTAACTCACAAATGATTAATTAATAACCTAATAAACATAAAGTTCTTTATTTGAACAGAACTGTTCAAGACTTAAAGTCATTCTGTGACCTGAGATTTGAACCTAAACATCTCAGGATAAATGAAAGGAATAAGTGAAAATGTTTCAGGGCTGAATCATCTCAAACTGAACATTTCATGACTGAATGTCTTTTAGGCTGCGCACGTCCCTCAGATGGACAGCTCCTGTAGTTTGACCTCCTGAATCTTTAGCCTAGGCTAAACTAGAATGACTAATATTGGTTATTAAAAGAATGGGTACCACTTTACAATAAACCTCCCCTTATATATGGCTTATAAATAGTTTTTAGTCATGTTATTATTTCATCTGTAAACACTTTATAAATCATTAATAAGTGTTAATTATGCATTAATTAAGGATGGAAAGAGACAAAATTGTCTGGTTTCTTTCCAAATAGTGAGCCAAATCTGTCCATGTATATATCACATCTGAAGGTGCTTTTTAAACATTTCAGACTAGTTTACTACCTTATAAGCACAATAATTTATTGAAAACACATATTTTACATATACTAATTGTACTGTATTACTGCATTATACATATCCACAGTAATCAAAGGGAGCCTTATTGTAAAGTGTAAAACAGTATACTATTTATTAATGATTAATAATGTCATAACAGAGCCTTATAAACAGTGTACTGTTTTACACTTTACAACAAGGCTCTTTATGGCATTTATACAAGTTTATTAGTCATTAATAAAGAATATACTTACTGTCTTACATTTTACAATAAGGCTCCCTTTGACAGTTGTTAATATGTATAAGTAATATAGTATTTTTTTAAATATGTGTTTCCAATACATAAAAGAGCCTTTTGAATAGTGTACTGTTTTACACTTTACAATAAGGCTCCTTTATGGCATTTATTCAAGTTTATTAGTCATTAATAGTGTAC